TATGTATAGCGAAATTATACAACTGTTTTCTTTTGTATATGTATAACAAAATATATATATTTATATTTGTTATGGAGCGCAATCATGCAAACTATAATTATAACATATAAATATAATTTTTATATTTTGCTCTATGTGAAAGTTACTCAATTAAAAAAGAGGAAGTATAAAATTATGTTCTTTCAAGCCCAAAAATGTCTCAATAGTGGTCCTTGGGACATCAAACTAGTGATTGCAAGCATTTTGAAGTGTGTCCAAGCCCAAAAATGTCACAATAGTGGTGGTTTCATGAGAAAGAATGATCACACTAGAGATGGACTTGTGATAAAATTGTTTCTTCTATAATTTTCCTCCTCCTTAGTTGTGACTTGTGTGTATAGTAATATTATTCAAAATTATATGCAATTGAAGTATAATATTTGGGTCAAAATCATTTTCATCCCAACTTTACTTTAACACCCCCCTCCCTCCTATATGTTATTTTTTAAATGTCTATTCTACCTTTACTCATCTAAGTGAAAATTCGTGCCACCTTTAAATAGCCACAAGAAAATTACACCTTTTTTATTATATAATGACATGTTACCAAAAAAATAACGTATTTATATATAATATATTAATATAATATGAGTAATATATAACCGTGTATATGTGAATGTATAATTATGTGTCAGAGATGTATATGCATCCATATATACATATACACTGTTTATAAACATTGATATTGTTCATCTTCCTCAGTATATATATATATATATATATGATTCTCCTCTAAACAGTTCCCCAAATTTTAAAGATGAGTTACTCTTGATTATATCATTCACTCAAGCAAATTCACATTTACATCAAAATAAATTTTAAAATTTAACTTTCGAAATTCTTCAATAAATAATAAAATCATGTAATAAAAAGTTAAATAGAAACTCTTAAGTCAAAATCTTTAGATTTTGGTAGAGATATCAGCGAAGTGATAATAGTGATATTGGAAAAAAATAATAATTAATATCCAATTATGTGACTAGTACACTTCTTGGATTTTATTCTTGAAAAGAAATATCTTTTGACTTTTTTTTAATCATTAATTTTAGATATAGAAGATTGAAGTGAAATAATAAATAGCAATAGAACAACAAAAACAGGTCGAATGATCATTTTGAATAATATTAAATATTAGGTTATTTTGGATAAAAAGATTAAATTTAATAGACATTTTATTTATTTTTTTCTTAAATGGTATCCAATCAAATTGTGTGATATGAAAGGGAGTACTGTTTATGAATAGCAAAATTTAATATTTGCATGTACACATTTTAGCAATATTCTTAATATAAATATATTATTTAGAAAAAAAATAATTACTAGATTCAATCAAAATATATTGTATTCAGACGTCTAATTTTATCTTTTATTTATTGAACTATTTTAAAGTAGAGAGGTGACAACACCAAATTTTTGATGAATTTTAAACTACTCAGATTTTAAATGTGAAATGTAATTATTTTTTTGGGGCTGAAAGTCCACAAAATGTTAATAAATATAAGATGTAACTAATAATTTTAAATTTATTACTATAGGTTTGACTAAAAATCTTATAAGTCGAACTCAGCCAATTAAATTCATTCAAACTCCATAGTATATATTTTTTTCGTGTCAATTTTATGTAACGGTATTTGACTCAACACAAAATTTAAGAATAGAAAAAAATAAAAATTTTTGGGTTATAGATGTTTCTCTGATTACTATAAATTTATTATTAATAAATAAAAAATAGATATTTTAGAGTTCAATTATTACTCTAAATATAGAATTATGTTACTCTCTTTGTCCATTTATATTTGTCCACTATACTAAAAATAGATGTTCACTTTTACTTGTCGATCCAGTTTTTAAAAAAAGAATGTTTAAAAAATTAAGAGATAATTATCACTTAGTTCCTATTTTACCCTTATTATTAACTATAGTCATTTCTCCAATGAATTTTCAAAACATTAAATCCCCTCATTCACTTGAAGAGATCTTTAGATAGAATTGACATAATTATTATCGTGAGAATGGAGCTATCAAAAAAGACTATCCTCCTTATTGAGCTAAAATATAATATTTATGTCGTCCATAGAAAAAAAATAGTATTTGAAGCAAAATGCTATATATATATATATATATAATATAATATAATATAGTCAATCACTTCGAGGTTTTGAAAACAAAAAGTCATAGAGATTCAAGAAGTCTTGCTTTCACTATCGATCAACCTCTTCTTAGTAGTGCTTTACTAGATTAACACCTTAACTGGTTTGCTGTAATTATTCAAAGAATGATATTAGTAAAATTAACATTCTAATTTTTGCTCCTTATGAAATTTGTCAAATCAATATTGAACAAGTAAAGTCCACGTCATATAAATTGTGCGGAGGAAAGGAGTACTAATTTTTTTTATTTTTTTGAGCTTCCAACGAATGTTCTCATTGAAACACCTTAAAAAATATAAAACTTCTAACTGAAGATCTATTTGAAAATATTTCCGACAAGCAAATTTCCAAAGGATTGGCGGTTAATAAAGAGTAGGAAAATGGGACAAAAGAACACATAATGAGGACAAGGGGCAGACAAACATGAGTCTTGATCAACCTGAGTCTATGATGTAGACTCATCACCAAACCCGGCCCTATGGTCATCCAACACCTTCCCATCAAGGCAATGTAGACATGCTCAGTATACTAGCAGTCTGTACTACATAACCAAAGATAACCATGCATTTTTGACTATTTATGTAACACCTCCATGTGCCATGCTCCTCCCTATCTCCCATTTCTAAATACATAACTATAGTACTCCCTATGGTTCGGTGACTGGTTTGAAAATGAGTTAAGCAAGTATTGAATTTTATATAAGTAATATCATGTTTGGTATAGTTGATTAGAAGGTAAGATATTTGTATATAATATTAATATGATATTCGGTGTACTATTTAAAAATTCATATAACTGTATAAATTATAAGAGAATTTATGTATTATTTTATGTAGGATAAAAGATGGAATAGGTCATATATAAATAAATAAAATCTCCATAGCCAATAGATTTTGTCATAATTAGTCCATGTTTTATTAATACATGAATAGATCAAATCAACTATCAAACAACAAATGGTTGTTTTGTTATTCGATACAGACTTATAGTTATGCAATTTGATAATATATGAATTAGTTATGTAATATTTGATTATTTATATATTAATTATTTCATCTTTTATATAAAAGTAAGCGAGTAGCGATACCGTAGAATCCAACTAAGACTTTCATGGATTATCACATTCATTTTGATTGAGAAGTTCTTAACGACTCCTAAACCTTTCTTGCTTTTGAACATAGGTTGAAAGCAAGCTCAGAGAATACTTAAGTGAAAGTCAATGAAATCGATAATCAACTAGCGTAATTTTAGTATATTTAATTTAACATAGAAGCTAAAATACTACAAAACACGATAGATTGTTGATTTTAATACATAAATGATTTAACTTCTTAACCCCTAGTTAAATGATTCCTTAGTTGTTTGACGTGTACTAGTATGATTAATTTGAATTTGCGATCAAATAGAACTTGAATATTGATATATTCTTTAAAGAAATATTTTAACCATACATATGTAAAACAAGTTAAAAGTAATAGATATGTCTGCATTCAATGTCCATTAATTAGTTACATGTTTCTGACAAGTGACCATTCCCCATTTGCATCTACCACCAATGGACCAATCTATATCTACACTCTGCTTCTACTGATTTTGCTTCAGTATTTATTATTTGCTACAATAACCCATCGAGACAGTATAGTTACGGATTCAGAATTTTTAATAAAATTTTTAAAACAAATGCTAAGTTATATGTTACTAAAAGTTTAGTACATTTGTACATGTTGCCAAATCGTATTCGTTAATACTCACTTTAGTATATGGAAATACTAAAGTCGAGTATTTTGCTTATATGTAATTATACATTTTTAATGGTCAAATGGTAATTGTTTGTACGTTACAATGTGGCGGATCTAACACATATCATGTAGCCTGTAGGTCTAGTACACTCTCTTCGGATTCTATTTAATGAGATTTTACTGAGTATGTTATTGTTGTATTAATTTAAAGTCATTGTAGAAACTCATAAACTTCAAATCTTGAATCGTCTCTGTAGGTCTCGTACACTCTCTTCAGATTCTATTTAATGAGATTTCACTGAGTATGTTATTGTTATATTAATTTGAAGTCATTGTAGAAACTCATAAACTTCAAATCTTGAATTCATCTATATTTACGAGTCTTAAATTATTAACACGAGCAAAAAGCTCTTGAACACAATAACTTTAGTGAGTACTTAACAAACTACTACTACATAACAATAAAGCAAAAGTAATGAGTTGGAAAATTGGACACTAAAAAGTAGTTGCAAGAATATACCCAAATAGAACTTTCTTAATGCAGAAATTAGCATTCTAGTGACAACAATCATGACTTCCATTATTGGGGTTAGACATGGGAATTAACTTGCTGGTGCATACAATAATTAGTTAGAATGTGTATCAGGTCAACTTGTACATATTTCGATATAATTATCACACATATAAGTACGATTGTGTTGGGAAAAAGAGTAAAAGAAGCATGTGAATATATGCTTTGTTTGGGTCGAGAATATAGCTCAATTGGTAGTACTCCATCCTTACAAACTCATCGCAGTTATAGGTTAAATTAAACGACTAAGATCAAAATTCGATTAAAAGGGTACTCTCTCCGTTTCATTTTATGTGACAACATTTGACTCGACATGAAATTTAATAGTGACCTTGATAGTGGATATTGACTAGAAAGTCGTTCAAAATAATTATTCTATTCAAATCACACGTCTAATGTTAAAAATATAATCTACTTATAGATACAAAACCATACAAAAGTGGTCAATTAATATAAATAACACGATAAAACGCTTCTTATCAAGAGATTTTTTCCGATCTCTTATGACACTGAATTAGATCTAGGCAAAGAAGAAGACAAGTTGATGAATTGAATACAATCATCAATTGCCTCCGCTCTATGTGAGTCAATATTTAAGGTAGCGGTTGGCTTAGCAGAAATTGTTGCTCTCTCTGACGAATTAGTAACTTTCCTACAACTTCTCTTTGAAGAAGATACCATCTTCATAAGTGCAACCATTTTTCCTCCAAGTTGTTTGAAAATCTTAATAGGGGATAATTGGGATCTATTAGGCATCTTGAAGCTACAACTTGTTGTGGTGGTGGTACTCCTTGCATTATTTGTAGTACCATCAACAACACTCTTTGTAGAGTTTTGCTTTTGAAACTTGCTTGCTATCTTTGTATTCTTGGTCATCTCTGGCTTCACCACGCTCACTCCTTCACATCCTCTTGCCGACATCTCGAAATCAAAGATGATTTAACGCAAACTGACTCGAACACCACACAATTATATATATATTTTTAAGAAAATATACTAACTTTAGTATAAGTGGTGAGAGAAGTGATACCTTTGGAAGGTTACTAGAAATTGGAATGAAGTGAGAGGGTGAACATGATTTGTGCTTATATAGAGAACCAAGGGTACTAAAAACAAAGATAATTTAACGAAAACATACTTCAAACGCTATCGTTATCTAACGATAAAAAATAAAAAGATAGTAAGGGGAGGTGATTAGTGGAAGGCTATTATGAATTGGAATGAAGAAAGATAATTTACTTATATAGAAAAGAAAGGGTAGAAATCAAAGATAATTTAACGCAAACTAACTTAAACACTATTATCGTTATATAACTTCTTTTTTAAAAAAATATACTAATTTAATATAACATAGTGAGAAAAGTAATACCTTGAAAGATTATTGAAATGAGGAAAGAAAATGAAGATGATGTGTATTTATATAGAGAATAAACAGTAGAAAATGCAAACTAACTCGAACACTATTCTTATAATATTTTCAAAAAAGGGTGAACATGATTTGTGTTTATATAGAGAAAATCAAAAGGTTAGAAAAAAGTGATGATGAAAATTTGAGGGACAAAAAGGTTACTAGCTAGGCTCTCAAAACTTTGATGCATGTATAAAACAAATATACTATGGACAATGCTAGTGAATGGGAAAGTGACTTATCTTGTTTACCTATCTAAGATCCTGCCAGAAATATTAACTCTCATCAAATGGTTACACCAACTAAAGCAAAGTCGTAATATTATCTCAAAAATATTTATATAAAATTTAGTCGAACAGAATAAAGGTGAGAATAGGTATGTAGAATTGCCGGATATTAATAAATTATTCAGAATATTCATTTAGAGTATTCGAAAAATAAAAATATAATGCTTAAAATTTCAAAATAAATTTTGAATCCTCTAAATTATCGAATAAATATCTAATCTTGCGTTAAAAGGGATAGAAAGATAACAATGTAACTAGCAAATATGCCCTTTGTTTTTCTTATCATTTTTTGTCTCTTGTCAAATAGAAAGTAAATTGACAAGATGCTAATTGTCGTGTCCTTACATAGCCGGCTCTAAAGTTAGGCAACCGGAAGCTTGATCGGTTCGATTTGATTTTATATATTTATCATTTGATTTATTAATTTTTAATTATTGAATATGTTAAGTTAACAATCAAATAATAAGATATTATCTTGTATTTCATAAATTTATCAAATATTCATAAAGAGGTCAAATTCAAATCAGCTTATTTCGAAAAATACGTCATTAACGACCTTCAAATTACGAAGAGTAAGTCCAATTCATCCTAGTTCGGAAAATGTGTCACTAAAATGACTCAAATTATGAAGATCACCTAGTTCGATAAATACGCGACTAATGACCACCGAATTATGAAATTCAAGTCCAAATTATTCAAGTTCGGACAATACGCCACTAACGATCCTCGAATTACGGAAAAGCCTAAGAGATAGAAGAATCAAGGAAGGAATAAAATTGTATTCATGATCTTGATTAATAAAATTATGTTTCTTCATATTTTTAATTTAATTGATCTTGATTCTTAATAACTCAATTTCGATTCGACCAATAAAAAATGCTCATTTATATAATGTTTATAAAATAAAAATAGTAGCAAAAATATAGTGCAACACAAATTTATATACTGATCCTTTTATTTAATAATAAATTGCACAAATCTCTTTTGAAGACTCAAACGATAAATTATGAAAATAACATTAATTATCTATCTCTATCACAAATAATTAAAAAAGTATAATACAGATAGATTTTTTAATCAATAGAGAGGAACCTAAGAATATCACTCTTTCATTTTAAAAAATAAAAAAATATCAGTGTCTATATGCATTCATTGATTCACGTGGATTAATTATTAGCAGCGATTAAGTACTAAATGAACTATAAAAGCATAAGTTAATAATGAATTTCATAAGATTAAGCATAAATATACGTACTAAATGAACTATAAAAACATAAGTAAATAATGAATTTCTTAAAGAGTAAGCATAAATACATACTAAATGAACTATTAGAACACAAGTAAATAATACTCATCCGTTTAAAAAAGAATAATTTACTTTTTTATTTAAAATAAGTAACTTTTTTTTCTTTTTCTAGCAACACTTTGATTACAGCTCTCCGCGTGACACGTATAAGATCACAAAATTAAGAAACTTTTGATTAATTTGACATAACTTTAATTCAAGACCACAAAATTAAAAAATCTTCTTTATTTTCTTAAAAAAGTTCAGTCAAGTCAAATCAGATCACTATTTTAAAAACGAATGAAGTACTGAATAAGTAGTAAAATTTCCATTTATTTGCAAGCCCTCGACTTACTTGGAATTGAAGCGCAATAATTGTTTTTATATATTATTTTCTTTTTCCCTTATTAGAGGGATATCTTTCTATAATTATTTGTTTCATAAGACTCTCATTCCATTTTATTTGTCATTTTACGTTTTTCAAAAGTCAATTTGACTGATTTTAAAAAGTTAAATTAGATTGTATTAATTCGATGTTTAAAAAAATAGATATTTAAAACTATACGAAAAGTACTATAAATTACAATTTTTGCATATCAATATAATGAAAAAATACATCATAAAATATTAATCAATTTTTTTTATATAATTTGACTCTAAAAAAAGATACTATGACAATTAAAAGTAAACAGAGATAGTACTTGATCCCACTAACTAATTTAGGATAAAATTAGTTAATTTTTTCTCATTTTATCTTATAATTAATATGACCTTTGAATATTTAAACGGTTTTTAAAGGTCTAAGAATTTTATTTTTTGAGGGACTAATTAATATAAATAAATACTCCCTCGATTTAAAAAAGAATGACCTCATTTTCTTGTTAGTTTATTTGAAAAAGAATAATTTTTTATTTTTATTTTTGATAAAATTTCAATGTTACCTTTTCACGTGACATGTTTAAGGCTACAAAATTGAAGAATAATTTTGTACATTTGACATAACATTAATTTAAACCAGAAGATTCAAATATTTTCTTATACTCCGTGTCAAGTCAATCTAAATCATTCTTTGTGAAATGGAGAAAGTAATAAAATTGATCAATCGAATGATTTCTTAATTATTATGTAAAATAAAAAATATTAATAATTAAAAACGTTTGAGTACTTTTAGATATTCCATACTAGTAAAGTTACGAGAAGGAAACAATTTCTCTATTTAGATTAATGATTATAGAGTCATCATTAAAGATTCTACCACCATATTTCCAACTAATTAATTTAGATTATTGAGTAATTATTAAAGCTCAAATGCTAACAGCGGCTAGTGCATGTAGCCTTTAAGTAGTAGCCCCAATGGACCACCATTGATATAATTTGATTTTACGCGGAACTAAAGTTATACATATGTGATTATAAATTATTTTATTAATAGTAAAATAAATATTTTAAAATTAAATTGTTATTGAATATAAAAGTACATTATTTTTTTAGATTGACGAATTTTTTTTTTATATAAATTGAAATAGAGAAAATATTAAACAATCTTGGGCTGATTCATCTATTATCTTATGCAAAACTAATTTTTTAAAAATACAAAATATATAATTTGATAAAAAGTGAAGTGTAATGGTGCCATGGGGTCAATTAGGAAAATAAATTAAGGGGGCTTGGTGGAAAATAGATATTAAAAAGAATGAGAAAAGGGCACCAAGAAAAAGATGGACAAAATGAGTCTTTAATCAAAGAATGATGAATATATATATATATATATATATATATATATATATATATATATATATATATATA